CAAAGTTTACTTTTAATAGCTATCCAATAGACGAGCGGATCACTACAGTCAGGAAGGTCACTGCGGCAGCGGTGACTGAATCTATATTTATACTGACCAATGGAAATCCTCTCAGTGTATCCAGGCATACTGTGTTTACCTAATATTTATCTACTTTGATGTATATTTCACGGTGCAAAGTGACTCACTGCAAGGCTGTGACACGATTGATAAGATCCGCAGAGAGAAATGCGTCACAACATGAAGCAGATAGTTCGTGTAAGGATCCATACGACCGAGTCACTGAAGAACAATATACGAAGTATATGTCTGAGTCATGTAGTATACCGGTCAAAAATATCCGACGTTGTTGATGGTGGAGAAGATATTGTTTCCACCGGGTACAGCGATACAGATGAGGGCAGAGTACCGTAGATAAATACCCGTCTGCTGGCATAAACTTGGAAGGCATCAGGGATAAAATCATGGTGCAGTCTACTGATATTATCTGCAAACCTGCCTTCGACGACTTGTTTGTCTTTCTTTACGGAGAGTTTCATAGGGGTTTGTGCTAACAAAATCTATGGATCTTGCAAAACAAATACATACACCATGGCGTGCGAATACATCAAGTATTTTATTCTATATCAATAAATGACTATTGTCGTAGTATATATTATCTCCTTTAATTTTGTGGAATTGCAATGGGCCATATAAACACGTCATCTAAACAGTCAGCACGGAACTGACTCCCCGTAGCGGATGTGTCCCGGTTTCACGAGGATAGGTTCCTCGCAGAATTGTGTCATTCGCTGCGTCCCATAATCCAATAACACAGACATACGGCGTAAATTTAATACGCACAATAAACTACGCCGAGTCTATAAACCCCGGGCAAGCTCCGATAATCACTTGCTTAGACGCAGTTGGAATTGTGATCCGTCATCCGTGGGTGGGGAGCATTCGTGAAATTGTATGTTTTCTGGATTTCTATCATTACGGCAAATATCCCGCTTGTATTTATGTCACAACGCCTGACCGCACCACTTATGCACTACACAATACGTCGACAACCTATGTTGAGCATTCAGGACATCTCATGGTGTATTGCATGTACGCACACCGAGTATGGTGCCCAAACACCTGTACCCAGATCCTGGGTACATTTGTGTGGTGTTCACATGCAATACTTTTGGGTGGTCTGACCAGCCAGAATTTGAACTATAGGTCTGCAACACCGCTCGGCAACACCGCACATAATTATGATTTCCAATTCGATGTGCTTCCATGCTTGTGTTGATCGAGGGGCATACTTGTCGATCCCGTCTTCTGGACCATACGCGAATCGCCTGTTGACAATCGGAGGTTGTTAATGAGTATTTAACACTGAACACCACCATCGAAACCCGCGCGTTGTCCGTTAGAACCAAGTCTCGACTTCCCCGTCGGCACCTAACCCCCCATACTGGTCCATCGTACTATTACTAGATTTTTCAGATAAGGTGTTCCCCCTCAATGCACTGTATCCAGTATTTGTCTGGGTCTCCAGTTGGGGCCACCCTGAACGCTTGGCGTGTCCGCTTACATAGCCCGCGGCCTGGCTATCAAGTTGCATCGCATCGTCAGTGAAAACACGGTTCCCACTCATCGTACTACTAGTAGGATAGGACGGATTGGAGCTCACCTCCGAAACGGAAACCATATTATCATAGCCGTTGCTATACACGCACGTATTCGGTGTAGCATCTACGTCAGGTTCTTGGCATGCCATTTGAGTGTTAGCACGCTTTAAAAATCCCTGGTTGATCTCAGTAGATGCGCACACGGGCAGGACTCGCTTCACTGGAGCTGGATGCTGAACATAAGAGTTGCTGCTACCAGCGAGATACCCGGTGAATGTATTGGCATGACGATCGACGCTGAAGCCCTGCATATCTGTAGAATCAAGTAGTACATGGTTGTCATTGAGTTTGACTTAAAGCTGCTCATTTATGAGCTAACAATAGGCATTATCTGAGTCATGCATCTTAGTCAATGTGTATGCATGAGAGAAAAAAAAAGAAACTTGAATCTTCACACCATCCATGTGGTGACAGATGCCGACCAGACAAGAGTGTACGTTTTATTTAAAGCATTGTAATATGCACGAACAACAGCTTCACAGTACATGGAAGTGTAGGATTTGTGCATAATTTTGAGTGTGAATCCGTGTGTAGAAATGCTAGTACATTCATGACGATAACAAGGCTTTTCACCTTGCACGCTACTTCGGGTCGAGCTAAAACTATGCATACTGTGCGTGTGCTGCCCCTTACTGTAGCACAACTTGCATGCTTTGTGCATGTAAGCATCCATTCTTGCAAACATGGGCAAGAGTACACCAGCCAAGCATAAAACTAGCCCAGTATTCAAGCAGCATGTTTATTACCTCTATTAAATCTCAGATTCAAATACAAGGTAAAAACTCGGATGATTCTAGTGAAAGCAATGGGAGATATATGCCAGCGGTGCACATCACGATTCGCTCTAATCAACCTCATAAGGCCCATAATGAACTACTACGTTAAGCACAAAGAATAGCGATCCAAATCTAACAAATACTTTCCGGACCAGAAAGTCGTCGCGGAAATCGTCATCTGATAGGATACACTATAGATTTACAATACCTAGTACCAAAGGTATACTGTATAGCCATGACACAATGGCAAGTAGATTTACAATACCTAGTACCAAAGGTATACTGTATAGCCATGACACAATGGCAAGTAGATCTACAATACCTAGTACCAAAGGTATACTGTATAGCCATGACACAATGGCAAGTAGATTTGCAATACCTAGTACCAAAGGTATACTGTATAGCCATGACACAATGGAAAGTAGGCATGTGTTTATGAAAGCCTATCGCATAACAAGCATTCAATGGACACACTCGCGTTCTTTTGTTGATATATACTATTAAAGAAGTTTGTCTCCGACGAGAAAATCTAAAAAGAGCATTTCGTCAGATGGATGATACTTTGAAATCACAAATACAAGTTTAACATGTATAAAGTATATGCTGAATATCTATGACACAATAACAATTATTGGTAATTATACAAACAAACAAACA